CAGGTTTCAGCAGAGCGTTCAGACTGAGAAAGAGTAGGAAGAAAGGTCTGGCAATCTACATCTGAAAAATCAGCCACTGAAAACCTTGTGGACCATGCTTGTACTCTGATACAGAAGGAAGCCACCATGACAGAATCTACTTTGACAGCAGCTGCTTTTTTTATGCTTTGTTTTTCTATATGCCAATATAAAATGGAGACCCAGAAGAGTCTGGTCACTCACGGGGGTTCAGAAGGGCCAATACACTCTGAATGTCACTGATAATTATCCTTAAGAGATCATATATACGGTATGTTGTTGTTAAGTACCGTGGAGTCAGTTCCGACTCATAGGGACCCTCCGAGGCCGTAAATCTTTACGGGAGCAGAACACCTCATCTTTCTCCCACAGAACCGCTGGTAGTTTTGAACTGCTGACTTTGCGGTTGGCAGCCCGACTCGTAACCACTACGCTATGTTTCTACCAAAACTACAGGGCTCCAAATCAAATATTCTGGGACTCTAGTGATTTCTTGAATACATTTTTAAAAAATTGAATTGAATACATTAAAAAAAACTTACTTGCATTATATCTTGATTTTTAGCTAAAAAAATAAATAAATTGAAATTCTCAGCCTATCTTACGACACTAAGGTGAAAATGGGAAAGGGTGTCTTTATCCACACCACTCTTGGAGAGAGCATTCCTAGGAGCAAGGAACCAGAGGCTGGGCCTGCTAGAGAAAGCAGGTCTAGAAGTCATAGCAAGGTTAATGAGGCCACTCAAAGGAAAGAGGCTAGGAGTCCTGGTGGCACAGTGAGTTAAGCATTAGGTTGACAGTTCAAACCCAGCAGCAGCTCAGCTGAAGAAATATGTGGCAGTCTGCTTCCATCAAGACTTACAGCCTCAGAAGCTCTATGGAACCATTCCTGTCCTATAGGAACAATATGGATTTGCTGTTTTGGGGTATTGCTTCTTTTTAAAGAACAGAACTGAGTGTTACATATAAACCCTACTCCACCCCCACCCTAATCAAGAACTTCCACTAAATTATAAGTAACCATTCTGCTCCAGTTTCGACCAGGTGCCTTTTCTTTTATGTTAATGGAGTCCTGGTGTGGTGCTGTGGGTTAATGCATCAGACTGCAAAGCCCTTTGAACTGCAAGGCTGGCAGTTCAAGCTCACCAGCTGTTCCTTGGAAACCCTATAACAGGGTCGCTATGTGTTGGGACTGACTCGAGGGCACTTCACTACAGCAAATAGGTTGAATTTTAGCCATAATCACTTCTGAGTTATTTGAAAAGAGGAGAGAGGGACACACACACACACACACACAGGGAAAAACAGGCAATGAACCCCCAGGAACTGTGAAAAAATAACTGTTCTTTAAATACTTGTATGTTTTTTTCCAGTTTCTACATGCATGAGTTCATTCCAAACAAATTATGTTTAAACATGTGCCTGCTGTCGGTGGATAGCTGCAGACCGGTTCTCTCAGCAATAGACCTGTTTCAGTCTAGTTAATCAAACCCACTGTCACCGAGGCTATTCTGAGTGATAGCAACTTTACATAGGTTTCCAAGGCCAAATCTTCACAGGAGAAGAAACGCTTGCTCTCCCCGCCCTTGGAGGAGTGGTAGGTTTCAATTGCTAATTTTTTTTTTTTTTTTTAATGTTTTATTGTGAATTATGTGATCGTTTACATGGGAGAACATTAGTTTTACATTCACCCTGTCCTATATTATTTCATTGCCATGGTTACAATCCCCTCCATGCATCATCAACCAACTAAAGGGTATACACTACAAGCCTGCCCCCCAGTCGTCAGCACACAGCCCCTCTGCCTCTCTGGGTCAAGAGTCCCCAGATGCTCCATCTTTCCATGTCATTGCCTCAGCCTCCGTCTCTGGTGTGTCACTCCGTCTCTGGGTAGGGTCCCACTTTCCACTCTTCTCCCTTGATGGTCCCAGGGACCTCCGCCCCTAGACTGCAAAGTCAATCACTCCCCTCCTTGCTACAAAACGTCTACCTTTACATTTCCAACCCTCACGAGCAATCCTGATAACAATTAGTCACTATTGTATCACAAGAGACTTATCCGTATTACTTACAGTATTTTTATGATGGCAGTCAAAGAATTAAGACATTATTTTAACCTCTTAAAACTCAACCCAGTGGGAGACATGGACAGTCAAAATAAACCCAATCCAGTCAAGTCAATACTGCCCAGAGGTAAGATAGAAGAACCTGCCAGTGAGGTGTGATTGGCTTCATTGTGACAGATTGTATTAGATAAGAGACACTGTAAATGGAAAAGGTTCATTTCTTTTAGTATCTTCTATGACTCTTCAGAGGGCCAGTTTCCTTCAATTGATCATGTTATTAATACTACGAATGTGGTTTTTGCATGCAATAATCCAGTCGGAAACAAATTGAGAAGACCAGGCTCTCACCAGGAAAATCATGTGTAAAATCATTTCCGTAGTGAGGTATAACAAAACCCGGTAAATCAATTCCAAATTAGAAGACCGAATTAGTCTTGACAGCAAAATGCTCCCTGACAAGTGCAGGCGCTTGGCAGTTGGCCAGCATCTAAAGGGAATCGGGAGAGAATCCTGTTATCAGCTCAGTTTCACGCTCTTGAAGGGAAATGTAGGGTTTCCTCCCCCGCCTTCTTAACCCACGCTCACGTGAGGCCTCTGTTCATAAGATCGCTAATAGCAGAAAACTACAAACGTATAGGATGGGAAAATCAGGGTTCTTACAACCCCAATAAAGCAAAGATTTACATGCCATTTTCCATTCTGATGGTCTAACAATTCTGACCAGTCTCCATATTTATGATTGGAGTGTTTACAGCTGGAAAAAGGTGGTACCAGATGGCCCTGCCGTGACATAATCTGCACAAACAGCAGGACATTTGTTAGAAATCCAGAAAATTATCATTTAGTAGACATCTGAGGAAGAGAAAGGGTATTTTGGAGATAGTAAGGATGTCACGAGGAGATGGAAAAAAAATCAAAACTGACTCATGAGCTGTGACTATAAACATTTTCATAGAACTGAAATGTTAGTC